TTCTGGGAATTCTGGCAAAGACGGGTGCAATCGCAGGCGTGCTGTTCGGGGTGTTCTCGCTCGCCTGCGGCCTGTACGTGCTCTCGGAGTGGGTCGAGGAGTACCCGCGTCTAGCGCGTAAGGCAATTCACTACACGGCGCTGACCCTGGACGCAATTCTGCTTCTGACGCTGTTTGACGGACTGAGCTTCTGGCGTGTGGCAATCACCCTGGCGACCAACCACGTGTACCTGCAGAACCTGCGTACCTTCCCGATGGTGTCTCTGGGCGGCCCCGTGTTCCTGTCGAGCTGCGGGCTGGCGCTGGGCAACCACTTTATGTGGTTTTTCTACTTTATCAAGCACCTGGGGTACTCGTTCGGGCAGGTGTGCGCGTTCATGCTGTTCTGCGTGTGGCTCGTGCCGCTGTCCTTGTTTGTTTCGCTGATGCCCGAGGATGCGGCGTTGCCGAGCAGTGGAGGGGGTGGGGACGGGAGAAAGTCGAGGCAGAACATGTTCAAGTCGATGTTTGCGCGGTTTGTGCGGTCGACAGATGAGCCGCAGTCGCTGCATGCTGATTGAAAGACGAAGCAACAGGAAACTTCTTTCGTGTCATCCTTGCTGCATTAACAGGCGGAGCGGGATTTGCGTCATCTGACTAGGCGCACAGGCAAGTGGTGCTGCTGTTCTCTGATGTCCATTTCGGAAGCGCACGCGCTGTTTTCCTCCGGTTTTTGCAAGCCAAAAAGGGTCTCTCTTTATTAAAGAAAGACTGGCAGGTGTGCGTGCGGATGGGCAAATCCTCTTTCCATTTCCTTGCGGCACTGAGTCGGCACCGCTGGTCCGCGCACTCATCAGTCTTCGCCGACGCTTGTAAACGAAAAAGGGGGAGAGGAGGGTTGGCAGATAAAAAGAAAAACCACGGCCCTCCCCAGCAAGAAACTGGCATTTTTAATTGCACGGCCAGGCACCTCCGCAACTTCTTTCCGCTCTTTCCTTTCTACGTAATTTTTATATTTTCGCACACTCTGTTTATTTCAGTAATATATATACCACACCTTGCGCGTGCTCTCTCTCCGCAGACATCTGTTACGATATCCTTTTAGAACATGACTATTATCTACTCCAAGGAGGTCCCCGGGACGGGCAGCGAGACCGAGACGCCGACGCACCGCTTCCACACGACAGCCGACCGCATCGTCGAGCGCGCGGCGCCCAACGTGACCAACATCTACGGCGCCCTGCTGCACGGCAAGGAGACGCGGCCAGAGTACAACATCCTGGGCAAGCGCGACGTGGTCGGCACGGTGTCCGAGGACAAGGAGGTGCAGCACAAGGTCGACGGCAAGGTCGAGACGGTGGTGAAGAAGTGGAGCTACTTCAAGCTCAGCGAGTACAAGTGGATGAACTACACGCAGGCCATCGACTACACAAGAAACCTGGGGTCGGGCTTTGCCAAGCTTGGCATGAAGACAGCCTCGCGCGTGCTGATTTACGCGCCGACGTCGCGCGAGTGGCAGCTGTGTGCGATGGGCGCGTTTTCGCAGTCGATGCAGATTGTCACTGCGTACGACACGCTGGGCGAGAGCGGGCTGCTGCACGCGATGAACCAGGCCAAGGTCGAGACGGTGTTCCTCAAGGCCGACCAGATGCCCATCCTGTCGCGCATCATGGGCGAGATCGAGACGGTCAAGAGCGTCGTGTACTACCAGGACGTCTACGGCATGCCCGCGGGCTGCGAGGAGGCCATCGAGCAGGTCAAGGCCAAGTACTCGGTCTACACAATGGACGAGGTGCACGACATGGGCAAGGCCGAGCCGCTCGAGCTGAACATCGCCGGCGACCAGGACATCGCCATGGTCATGTACACCAGCGGCAGCACGGGCAAGCCCAAGGGCGTGCTTATCTGCCACCAGGGCGTGATGGCTGTTGCCGGCGGGATCCACGAGTTCATTGCGCCATACATCGACTACGGCCACGATGTCATCCTGTCGTACCTGCCGCTGTCGCACGTGCTGGCGTTCTTTGTCGACGTCTACTGCATGTACTCCGGCATCGGGATTGGCTACGGCACGCCGCGGACGCTTACGGACGAGAGCGTGCGCGAGTGCAGGGGCGACATCAAGGAGCTGCGGCCGATGGTGATGATGGGCGTGCCGCAGGTGTGGAACACGATCAGAGCCGGCATGCTCAAGCAGGTGGACAAGAGCGGCTGGCTGGTGCGCAAGCTGTTCTACAACGCCGTCGAGCTCAAGAACGGCCTGCGGCACTACAGCCTGCCGCACAACTTTTTGGACGGCATCGTGTTCAAGAAGACAAAGGAGGCGACCGGCGGGCGGCTCAAGTTTGTCATCACGGGCGGGGCGCCGGTGAACAAGAACGTCCAGCGCCTGATGAACGCGGCGCTCTGCCCGATGATCCACGGCTACGGCCTGACCGAGGCCAGCGGCCTGGTGTCGGTGCAGCTTCCCGACGACCCGACGTTCAACAACGTCGGCGCGCCCTGCCCGTCGGTCGAGATGAAGCTGGTGGACGTGCCCGAGGCCAACTACTTTGCGCGCAACGGGCAGGGCGAAGTATGGGTGCGCGGGCCGTCGATTTTCAAGGGCTACCTGGACAACGACGAGCTGACCCGCGAGACGCTGACGCCCGACGGGTGGCTGAAGACCGGCGACATCGGCGAGTGGACGGCGCAGGGCCAGCTCTCGATCATCGACCGCAAGAAGAACCTGGTCAAGATGATCACCGGCGAGTACATTGCGCTGGAGGCGCTCGAGGCCACGTACAAGAACTCGCTGTTCATCCACAACATCTGCGTGTGCGCCGACGGGCGCATGTCGCAGCCCTGTGCCATCGTCAACATCGACGGGGCCCAGATCGCGCATATCGCCGACGAGGCCAATATCGGCTACGACAATCCGTCGGAGCTGGCCGGCAACCCGGACTTTGTGCGCGCCGTACTGGCCGACTTGCAGCGCGTTGCCAAGAGGAATGGGCTGACCAAGCAGGAGACGCTGACGTCGATCGTTGTTGATCCTGAGCTGTGGTCGCCCGAGAACGACAGGCTGACTCCGGCCATGAAGCTCAAGCGCAGCGACATCCGCGACCACAACGCGGACGCTGTGGAGGCCATGTACGAGCGGATGGGGCTGAACTAGGGGCGGCATGTATGCTCCCCTTCATTTCTTGTTTCTCTTCTCTGCTTTCCATTTCTGGTTTGGAATTATTTTGAAAAAAAAATGCTTTCTGTGAATTCTGCTCATCTTCTGCCGTCGAAATTTCTGACCGACGTGCTGCGCTTGGTCATTGACTCGGAGCCTGACAGCCAGCGCGCGCAAACTGTCCTTAGGGAGCTGCGGGGCGTGAGCGGGGAATGGTTTAGGGCCGGCGAGCGGCTGGACAGATGGACCGTCAAAGTCTGGCTGCAGTCTGACGGCGGTGACCGCACGCAACCCTTGCTTTACAGCAACCTGTCGGCAATTGAAAAGTACTGCGGCCAGAGCCGTGTAGCATACGTGCAGCTTTTCGCTCAGGCAGACATGCTTCTCGGGTTCAGAGAAGATATACGCGGCATGCTTGGAGATATAGCCGTCGTTTGTCCTGGTATCAAAGCACTGTCTATCGCTGCTGCCCGTGGGCTGGACCATTCGGGAGATGGGTTTGTACTGCGTAACGAACACATAAATCTATTCCAACCATTTGCTGCAGATATCGTCAACATGTTCCCTGCTCTTGATGAGCTCAAGCTGGATTTGCCCGGCTACTCGTGCGATGTTTGGGGCCTTGGTGCGTATATGGTTGAAAAGTATGCCGGCCAACTTCGCAGACTTATATACTCGCCATTTCGGTGCAGTATGACTACGCGCTTCTCTGAATACCTGACGTGCCTCAAACTCACTGCTATGCCCGATATGCTGCCCTACCTGCCTTGCAAAGTTAACGCGCAGACCTTGGAACACCTGAGTCTGGCGGGTGTTCCACAGAACTTTGACTGGGGAGTATTCCACGGCAGCCCTAGACCCAAACAGATCATATTTGAAAGACTGCGCACACTCACTCTGTCGTTCGTGCAAAAGGATAACTATATGGGGTACTCTCGCATGGACATGACTGATGCAAGCATGATAACGTTCTGCTTTCCAAGGCTGGAGCAGCTCAGCATAGACTATCCGCAACATCAGCCCCAGTTTATCAAAAACTGCACGTTCCCTTCTGTGTTGCACGCTGTTAGCGTTAGTACAAGCTGCAGCGGAGTCGGACTGGTCAAATGGTCAGATTTTGCCACCATTGACAAGCTCTCTATTGCCGCTACATACAACAAACTATTTGATTCCAGCCCTGTCAGCATATTTGATGCTGCAAGAACGATACTGTCTAATGCCTGTGTAAAGTCGACATCACTTGCTCTGGAGAAGGAGATTGAAATCAGTCTGATTCTCCTGCACATTCGAGGATTGAACTTGACGACGCTTAGAATTGACTGCACGGTTAATTTTGCAAGCATCATGGCTCTTCTGGAAAAGCTACCGGCCTTGGCTGATCTCCACATTACAGTGTCAAAGATTGTATCCAATATCCAACGCACACCATTTGCACAGACGATCCCGACTGAACATGTCAATTCGGGACTACAGCTTCTGACAATTTATGGCAATAATCCGGTGGGCGAAAACAGTGCGTTTGAGACTTTCTTGGCACAGCTTACTGCAAGACTGACTACACTGAAGGAGATCCACATGTCGGATGCAAGATGCCAGCAGTTTGCTGATGTTATTAAGAATGCTGGTGCTCAATATCCGCACCTATATGATATTAAGATAGTAACCGCTTAGGTATATAATAGTATAAATACAAACCCGGCTATTTTATAAATGATAGAGTAGCAACGCCTGTCTGGAATGTACGTTTTTTAAATTTAAGCGGCAACAAGTAAAAAATAACATGTATTTGTTGTATTTTGTTTACTGCTGTAAAAATGGGTTAATCAAGATTGATTAGTAGATTACATAAGGCTACTGATTAGCCCTTTTAGCTCAGGGGCAGAGCGCAGCTCTCGTAAAGCTGAGGCCGTCAGTTCGATTCTGGCAGAGGGCAACCAAGACTTTTGCACTAAATTTTTTATTTTAGTTTTGCAACATACAATTTTTTTTAAAAAAAAAACAAAAGTGTGCAATATTTGATGCGGAATATAGGGATATGATTTGCACTCTCATTTTTTATTCGAAGAGTAGCAAGTAGGAAATCTGGGAGCTGCTGAAATAACAAGTAGCCACAATAAGCACTTTTTTCAATATCTAATGAAAATCGAATTTTGTGTAAAAATGATAGTTCTCAATAAGTAAATTTATATAAAGTGGGTTCAAAAAATGATTCAAATTTTTTATATCAATACCTTTTTGTGATTAACAAGAGTAAAACTTAACTAGATAAAACAGATATATAATATTATATTGCATAGTA